CCGCGGGAGAGGCCAAGAACGTGGCTGCCATGTTCCCCATGCTGCTGTCGGGCATGGCCGGGCTGCCGAACCTGCTGGGCATGGGAGGGCTCCTGGCAAAGTCCACGGAATCCGCTTCGGAGGAGAAAAAGGGAAACGATGCGAAGGAGACGGATGCAAAGAAGGAAAGGACAGAAGACCAAAACACGGACACTGGTGGTGAAAACTCTGTTTCCAGTTCTCCTTCGACATCCTCTGCCGCCGCAGCTGCCAATCCTCTCTCTCTTAACCCTTTACTTTTGTCCAACATACTTTACCCAGGGATGCTTCTCACTCCAGGCCTTAATCTTCATATCCCAGCTTTGTCTCAGTCTAATATTTTTGATGTACAGAACAGTGAAAGCAATGACACGGGCTCAGCCAAGCCCACAGAAGAAAAGGAGGAAAATTCTAGGGTTAGAGATCAGGAAGACAAAGGGGGAACAGAGCCAAGCTCTCACAATGAAAACAGCACAGATGAGGGTTCAGAGAAAGCAGATGCTTCATCTGGATCTGACAGTACATCGTCTTCATCTGAGGATTCGGATTCGAGCGATGAAGACTGACCCCAGACTCTGCACTTAAATTATAAACTGATTTTGAATTTATTCTTTAATTATTTCATTGTAAATAACCCAGTGTTGAGTGCATCAATGATTTACTGACCGAACATTTCAGTATTTGTTTAGAAGTGCAAACTGCTTTCAGAGACGTTTTGCATGTAATATTTCTTGAAGTTCATAAGTTTCTGAACTTGTATGTACTATCAAATACACAATGGTGTAAAATTACAACAAAAGGCATTATAATTTTGTTGGGGGGTTAATTTTATGAAAATAATGCTCAAGTAAGAGCTGTATATTTAATATATTTGCAGTGAACACAGAATACTTTATGCATATTATTGATTTAATTTGAATATAGTTTTACAGCCTCCTTGACACTTATAATTTACAGATCAAAACTCAGCAATAATTTGGGCAGCTAATGAATGTCATGAAAGCTGTAGAATCTACATCACCATCCATTGCTTTAATTACATGAAAATGCTCTAGTGTTGTGATGCACTGCTGTTTCCAATTCAGGTACAAGTGTGTTTAAAAGAAGATAAATTTTTCCCAATTAGCCAATTAAACTGGCTACCTGTTACCTCAGCTGAGTTAGTTTAGGAAGTTTACATTGGTTTCTATTACTTGTTTTCAGGTTTTGTTTTGTTTTTTAAAGACATCCTGTATAGCATGTTAAAATCTGAGTTACTTGAGGTAAGACTGTTGGGGTTTTCTTTCCCCCTTATTGCAGCTGTTCTCTTTGACAGCAGTAAGGGGAAAATAAAGCAAAAGCTCTCTTATCTCATGCTACTTGGCACCATGTAGGTCTATTTAGTTTACACCTTGCAAAGTTTTGGGCTCCCTCTGCAGAATTCAAAGTCCCAAAATGAGGAGTAGTTTCCCCAAGACTCAGAAGAGGCAAACTGTCATAAAGTGCCACTGAAAAGACCTTTCAACACTGCATAATTCATGTAAAAATTGTTTGTTTGCTTTGTTTGTGTAGATTTCTATTTGTGTTTTATGTCATAAAACCTCCTGGAGTTCCCAGTTAATAATGGTAAATAAAGTACAGATAGTTTTGAACTCCTTTTGAGTTTAAACTTCTCTGCAGATTTAAATCTGACTAAACATTATCCAAAATCATTATTGGGATATCACTTCATATATTATGCTGAGTTACCCACTAAAGAAAAAAGCACTTTGAATAGTAAGGAAGACAAATTTATTCCTAGAAACCACAGTAACAGGGCATAAGGCATCTCGTTTCAAGTCCAAATCCTTAGAACCCTTTACTATATAAAATCTGTCTAAGATTTGATGTGTGATATGATTCCTCCTTCTTCTTAAGCTGCTATTACTCTGACACAGTCGAGGCCCAGATTCACATTTACAGAACTTCTGAACTGACTGAGACTTCAGGTGACCTTGGTTACATCATTTGCGGTCCAAGAATAGGCAAGTGTTGAGAGAAAACAGATACAGGTACTAGTGAAAGTCATGGAAAAAGCTTTACAAAGGGATAAATTTAAAAAATAAAAAACAAAAACTGTATATTTTGATATAGTTCTGTTGCTTGCTTGTACAGTAAAACAACTGTGTTGTTTTTTATCAAGAACTTTACCAATGAAATATAAGTTTCTATGTGCAAAATAACTAGCCCCATGATTAGAAGCAGTATTAGATGTAATTACACAATTATACAAGTACCATTTGGATTGTGCTGGTAACGTATTTTCCCAGATAGTATTCTGATTTTTGGCCCTTCATGCAGTGTCTTAGCAATAGTGAAAATCAAAAACTGCCAAGAGAAGGGGGTAGCCAATTTTTCGTCATTAAAAGAAAAAGTATTTCATATTTAATATTTTGCCCTTTGTGTAATATAGCACTTTTATTTAACTAGGATGCATCTATGAAATAGCCAAAGTTTTACAAGCAGTTATTAACTTCATTTGCTGATGGAGTATGTCAACAATACCATCACTTCCCACCCTTCCCCCACAAAACAAGTCCTAAATCTTGTGGCTAAAACCTAATTTATATCAGATTTATGAAATAAAGTATTTTCCTATTATGGTCAAGTAAGTTTGGTTACTGTTCTAGTGATTCTTTCTATGTAATAAGGCAATTACAGTTTCAAGTAATGAAGGCTGGTGTAGACTTGAACATAATTATATTTGGGTTATTTTTCATCAGTTTGATCCAGAGGGGGAAAAAAGTGTCCCACTATCAGCTAAACTATATGCAAATACGGTTGTATAAAGTTAAGGGTTATAAGGAAACCTCAGTAGAATTACACTAATACTGAAGTTAAAATTAAAAGGATATCCAAGGTGATGATAAAGTGTGTGTTGGTAGTTACTAAAAAAACCTTAGCTGTTATTGCCTTGTATTTCTATCCCTTGTTTCAGGCTTCATGATCCAAGTCTTAGTCCAGGTTTTTTTTGGACATTTGCAATATTTGCCAGTTGTGTTCTGTGTAGTCTGAATTTGCTTTCTGTAGTTGAACAAGCGTCTTAAAAAGTCATTTGTAATTTATTGAATTACTTTCTATGATGTTCTATAGAGCAAATGGAAGTTTAATTATTTTTTATTAAACATATTCTTTGACTACCCGTGATGTCGGCCTCAGTATGTGAAAGTAATGCTGTGTAAGGATTAAACGTGGATCTTCCAGCAGCAAAACTCAAGTTTTCAGTGCTAAGTTTAAAACCGAAATTATTCTTAAGACCTTAAAAAACCCTGCAGACAAGCCAAGGACATAACACACCTACTGCCCAAGACCATGGTTTACTCTTGTATAATTTTACTGGGAATCTAATTCTCTTATCTTACAATCAAACCAGCTGTTACTCCCACCCTTCAGTACTTATGGATGGAAAAGAATGTATGGTCTAGGTTCTGGGCCAAAAGTTGCCTTAATTTTAAATAAGCATGTTGGCAGTGAAGTAAGTATCTTTTCAGTCTTCTTTCTAAAACAGAAAAAACAATTTTGCATTACTTTCCACATCTTTATTAAAGTTTTTAATCATGTACACAGCACTTAACTATTGCATGTATTTCACACAGGGCACAGACATTGCTCCTGAACCCAAGTTGTCTCCTGCTTGTCCTCTGACACCTGGCATTGCATTTGAATGATTCAGTGGTATCCTTATTTATTTCAGTCTGAATTTTGTCTTCAGATCCTGATCATCCTTTTTGAGCTTCTGCAGATGTGTGCACAGACGATAGAAGTTCACATGTACATGACCCCTGTTCTCAACTTCTCTTTTCCATGGAAGTCCTGCAAAAGCTCTAACAGTATTTTTTAAAATTAGTTTTGGAATCCAGCCGTCTTGGTCTATAAATTAAATATAAGGATCTATTTTTCAGTGGAAATATTCCCCAGAAAGGTGATCTAGGCACTATATTGGTGGTTAGTTTCTGGCACTCCTTTGAAATTTTTCCAAACTGTATGTGTGGGGTATGGTGATTAGAGAAGCCTCTTAACAAGGTGTCCAGGGAAAAGTCCTGTCCTATTTGTTTTATTTTGTGTCTGAGAAAATTATTTGTGCCATGTTATTTAGTAATACATTTTTCATGGATTGCTCAGTGTGACCATGCTGATCACCCATTAAAATGAAGGTTTGATGAAGGTCTAATTCAAGCTGTAGCAAGATGAAATGTGCCTGGTGTTCAGAGTTAATATAAAGGGATCTACAGGGTAGTGTTACATTAACTTATTTGTGATGTGCAAGTTACTAACAGCTACTTTTATAGGCAGGTTCTGATGTAGTTCTATTATACCTATCATTACCTTCCACATGAGCAGGCTGTTTCAGTGCAATGTGGGATTTACACTGCTGTAGCTGACCAACATTTAAAATTTTACATCTGTGCATTGCTGGACCTTGGGCTGGTGGTGTTATCTGTAGAGCAGAGTAATTGTTCTGGTGTAGCCACGGGAGTTTACAAAATAACTGTCCTGGCTTATCTAAATGTCCCTAATGTTACACAAACAGGCAGTATAATTTCTTTGTTACGTTTAGAGGAAAAGAAAATAAAGATAACAGCTTTCCAAGTTCTTTTCATGATTTTTTTTATTGAATGCTGCCTCCTTTCAGGTTCTTTCATGCAAGGAAGGAAGGAAAATGTAATTGCCAAGATCCTTCATGAAGTTAAACTGGGAAATGAGGATTTGTTTGCTCTGCCTCCTGTGTGCTTCCAGTGTGAACGAGACCTGACAGTGCACAATTCTCATTAGTGCTCCAGGTAAGGTCTCATGAATCAAAGGGAGGCTGGTTTGGGAAATTCTTGGGATCCTACTGACAGATAGAGTGTCATCATCCAGAGAGATGAGAGCACTTTCCCTAGTGCTCACCAAAACTGCTCACAGTCCTCACACTGTTTTCTGCTCTCAGACAATAAAAGCATTTGATTTGTCAGCTCCTCTGCCTGACAGTGTTTGACCTGTGTGCTGCAGCTCAAAGCAGGGGCAAGAGCATGCTCATGGGGAAGATTTCTGAGACTACAGGACAGTAAAAAGACTATGTTACTGGGGGCTAGCCAAGCAGCTGTGAGGGGCTGGGGCTGAGAGGGTGTTTGTGGCTGATACTTGTCATACTGGTAGATTTTGCATCTAGCAGTAGTCAAAATCATTCAAATAATTAACATGGCATATGAGGATAACTTTATTATTCTTGCATCTTTTTAATGGGGGATGAGCGAGAGGGAAAGAGGGGAGAAGTGGAGAGCAGATGAATATTTCTCAGTACAAATTAAATGCTGTAATAAGTTACTGCTGCTTTGTGTTTTAGTAGATACTGTAAATTTAAAGCTCTACATTATTTACATAGTCTTCTGGATGGCCCAGAGCTTCCCATCAATGCCCTGCATAACTCAGAGCAGGAACTTGGCCTCACTGCAAAGTTCACAGCTCCTCTGTGCTGTAATAAAAGATGTAAGATTAAGTACAACCCAATCACTTGTTTTTAATGTTGTAAGTTGTCCTGGTAGTCTGGGGGCTGCAGGTTTGGCATGGGGGGACCCTGCTGGCATCACCATCTTCCAGCGTTAGCTTGGGCTTTCTGCACTTCTCAGTGCTGGGTATCAGTGTGGATTTGTGTCCTGAATCACATCTCAGGTCAATCAGATCATCCTTTCTTGACATTTCCTTTTCCCTGAAGCTTTCAGCCTTCATGAAATATCAGTAATACAAAATCAAGGTGGCAGAGTCAATAAATCTCTTTTAATCACGTGCAGCCTGTTTTACTGATCACTTAATTGACACCTACCTGCCCTAGGACTTAAATCTTATTTTTGGCAGCCTTCTCTCTGCTCGGTTGGGACTTGACCAGTGGGAGCTATTTCTGTCTCTGTTTCCTACCCCTCACTATGTACAGCCTGTACCCCGCACTGTGTGTGCACAGCCTGTACCCTGTGTACATATTTGTGTGAATATTTGTGTACAGCCCGTACCCCGCACTCTGTGTATATATTTGTATATATTTGTGTACATATTTCTGTCTAGCTCGTGCTCCGCACTCTGTGTACATATTTGTGTATATATTTGTGTACAGCCCGTACCCCGCACTCTGTGTACATATTTGTATATATGTTTGTGAATATATTTGTGTATATTTGTGCCCAGCCCCTGCCGGCCCTGGCCGCTTTCAGCCCGCGCCCCGCCCTGGTCTCGCGCGTCGGGCGCGCTCCCGCTCCGTGCCGCGCGCGCGTCTCACGCTGCGTGCTAGGAGCGCGCGCCGTGCGCCTGCGCGTGGGCGGGGCGGGCGGGCGCTCCGCGGGCCAATGAGCGGGCGCGGCGCGCGGAGGGGGCGGGGCCCGTCCCTCGGTGTTTGGATTCGAACCCGCGGGGCGGCGGCGCAGGCGCGGTGCGGAGAGCGCGGCGCTGCCCCCCAGCGGCGGGGCGCGGCATGGCGGGCGAGGACGCGGCCGGGGCCGAGCCGGGTCCCGCGGGGGGCGCCGCCGCCGCCCCGTCCCCGCCGGGCGAGGACGGCGAGACCCGGCAGCGCTACGAGGAGCTATGCAGGAGCCTCAACATGGACGAGCGCGCCCGCTCCGAGGCCTGGCTGAGCTACCAGAGCATGAGGCGCAACTACACCCTGGAGGTGAGGCGGGGGGTGACGGGGCCGCGGCCGGGCCGGGGGGAGCGCGGCGGGACGCGCGGGTGAAGCGCGGAGGGAAGGGACGGCAGTGGAGGCGCGGCGGCCTCTTCCCCGCACCGCCCGGGCTGCCGGGAATAACCATCGCAACTGGGAGTCGTAGCGGCGGAAAGGTGTTAAAAATGGGAGAGCCCCGGTCGCTGTGGTGCTTCGGCTCCCCGCGGTTCGGCCGAGGAGCGGCGCGGTGGCCTCGGCCAGCTCCGCTCCGCAGCCGCGCGGGGCCCGCGGAGATGCCCCGCGCAGGTGTGATCGCGTGTGTGAGCTGTGTTCTGGGGGCTTGGCACGGCCCGGGCTGGGCAGTGGAGGGTAAAAGGTGAAGGGGAAAAGGTAAAGGGGAAAAGGCAAAGGGTTGTCGCGTCGTTCTTGAAAACAGGAACACGCGGTGACGCGCCCGGGAGCTTCGGAAGCGCCTTTATCGGTGCCTTCCTATAGCAAAGGTGGCGCTTGTGATAAGCCCCGGCAGCTCCCGGGGCCCCCAGCGCTGCCCGCCGGTCACCGGCGGCTCTCGGGGCAGGGCTGCGGGCCGGGCTCGGTGCTGCGGGGCCGGGGCCGCCCGTGAGGGAGGAGGAGCCGCTCGGGCAGCGCCGCTGTCACAGCGCGGGCGGGCGGCGATGCTCGGAGCGAGCCCTGAGGGGTGCGCTCACCCGGGCCCGGGGCACCACGGCACCCGACAGAACCACAGCATCGGATTCAGTCTGCCCCCTTGTTTTACCCGGCCCGTTTTCCACTCAGATGTGACTCTTTGATCAAAGACGGAGAATAAAATTTCAAGTGCTCATTAGAATAAATTTCTGTATTTGGGTACCAGATTGAATAATTTCTCTGCTGTGTAATATAGAGCAAAACAGAAACGGTGTTTTTCTTTTCCTGCTCTCCGTTCAAGGCAGAAGAATGTTTTGGTTGCAAGGAGTGTAGCCTTTCTCCTTTTTTTGTTGACTTTTTCTTTTAAATACGAGCAGTACAAAATGCTGTAGAACAGCACTAAAAATTTATTTTCATATACTCAAAATGTATTTCACACTTTGAGTCAAAGTGAAATTTATAATGGCCACTAGTGAGTTTCATTTTGATGCAGTTCAGTGTTTAGTGTCTGTGTAGCGCCTGTTTTGTTGCAGTTAAAAACCCAAAGCACAACAGAAGTTTGAAACAGCGAATCAACTTTCTCACTGGTTGAACTTCATCTGTTCAGGACACAGTGCTTTTCCCCGGTGTTGGGCTAGCTGAAGAGCATGTTTTTGTTTTCAGTGCAGTGTTCTAGATGCCTGATGTTTTGATTCACAGGGAAATGACATGCATTGGCTGGCTTGTGCCTTGTACGTGGCTTGCAGGAAAGCGATTCCAACTGTGAGCAGGGGAGCAGCAGAAGGAAATTATGTATCCTTAACCAGAATCCTGCGCTGTTCAGACCAAAGGTAACTTCTTCTTGCTGATTTTTAGACACTTACAAAATGTCAAA